GGACGCGCGAGTACGCGAGAGCGCGTGAGCGCGTGCGCGCGCGAGCGCGCGCGGGGGCGCGGGAGAGAGAGCGAGAGTGCGTGAGCGCGAGCGCGCGCGCGCGCGCGCGCGCGGTCGCGCGGTGGGGATCTATGGAGATAGATAGAGAGAGCGCGAGCGCGCGCGCGCGCGCACTCGCGCAGCGGGGCTCGAGAGAGAGAGATAGAGAGAGCGAGAGCGCGAGCGCGATATATATATATATATATATATATATATATATATATATATATATATATATATAAGATGAAGAGATCAAAGGTAGATAGAAAGATGAAGAGATCAAAGGTAGGAAGGTATGAACCGATATACGACGACCTTGTTATTGAAATACTGTCGTATCCGTCTGTAAATCGTGGAACAACATCATCTCTTCACCGACTTTCGCTAAACTACACCTCAAGAATTACACCACCAACAACAACAACAACAGCAACAGTGATCTTTGTGTTCTACTTTGGTTGGACACCATTACAAACAACTGGAGGCTGTCGATGCCGACCGCGTTATTGAAACCGCCAACGAGAGAATTATTATTATTATCCCCGAGCGTGGACATGGGAGCGTCGTCGTCCTTTTTCAAGGCGGACAAGGCCCGAATGACGAGGCCGGTGAACGGGCTAATCTGCATCTACGGAATGCCCCTCGTGTGCGGGGTCGCGCTCTGCAACCCTAGCCTCGGCGGCGAAATGGAGTTCATCCCGAGCTGCCCGATATCTGACCCCACCTTCAAGGGAATGATCGTGCGCAACATCGCGCTGGGCGTGGACTCTACGACCAAAGACGTGAAGATTGTGCAGCTGCTCTCGTACTTCCAGTTCAGGGACGACGTGGCCACAGTGGCAGCCCAAGCCGACGTCTACACGAGAAGAACAAGGGCATGGAGGCGGCTCGAGGGGGGCGACGTGCCGGACGCTTTCCTGAGGAGGTGCACGGTATATGGGGGGGAGGGAGGCTCCTCGTTCGCTCACTGGCTTCATCGAGGGGGGGATCTCTTGATATCTTTCCACATGGACGACGAGGTCTTTTCCAGGACCCTGCTACCGGAGACGTTTAATCACCAACTATTCAAGACCAAGGTTTTTCCGAGGGGAGGATCGGACGGAAGCTCGCTTGTGCTATTGGCTTGCCCTCGTCTTGTTCAGAAAGAGGGACTGTTCCAGAGATGGGAGTTGGTCGGTGGTTTGGGGAGCCAGGGACGGTGGACTAGGTTGTTGTCGGTTGATATCGGGCCCACGCCTATGTGGGCCACCGGTTCGTTGTTACTAATGAACAAAGACGAGGATTTTTTCTACGAGTATTATTCGTCTCATGATTATAGTAATCAAGAAGAAGAAATAATTGGAGACGAGGTGGCGCGGAGGAGGAGGAGGACTCGTTGTCGTTATCTCAAACTTGTCAAGTACAAGGGAAGTCTTGCTTTCTGAATTCTGATCAGAGCGCAACTCAGTCATTCCATATATACTTGTTTGCAATAAATTAGATAAAAAGTTGATCAAGAAAAAATTAGATAAAAAGTTGATCAAGAAAATTATAAATGATTTTTTTTTATAAATGTTGTAGTCTGAATATTGAGATTTTGTAATGAAAAAAGAGAAAAAAAAGTTTTACACCTCAACGAGCTTCCATATGTGAAAGTGTGAGACCATTTGCAGAGGAGATTCGATCTTTGCCTTGTCCAAGCGGGACATTATCGAATCGATTACATAGTAATTTGGTTCGATTTTCGGGTCCCACTCGATCGACAAATATTTTCCCTTCTATTTTCTTTTCCCTTCATACACGTGGCGGCACACCATCATTTGTTCAAAAATCGTCTTGACAGCATGACGAAAAGTGGTCGATATCGGCACAAGGCAAAGACATTGACTTTTTAGTTCGTGTATTGGCCTCCCTTCATTCTTGATTATTTCATCACTAGTCTGCCAAAATGAAGTAGAAATATGATTTGACTCCGATATAACAAGCAATTCGAGCACGTTTTCTCAATAAAATTACCGGTCGACGTTGCACTGAAGGGCCTCCGTTTTTCGAATACGGACCACTCAATACCTGAAAAGCAAACAGCATATAAAATGTCGAAATCAAGATTCATAAAGTTCGAAACTTTTCTCTGATTAACTTAGTTTTGATGGAATTTCGAACATACACTGATTTGATTATGGAGAAACTTGATGTATCCGATAGTTTCGTAAAGTACGGATGCTTCATCTGTCTGAAATAACGAAAAGTTTCGGTTTAGTACGGAAATTCGAACGAAAAAGATCCCTTTTTTAATTTACCTTTCCGAAAGGTGAAATCAACTGATGCAGGGCAGTTATTTGAGGCTGAGAATCTGTGTCAAGTGAATTTTGCAGCAATGATGAAGTGTAGCTATATGATGATGAAGCTGAATCCAGACGCAAATTAGCGACGGAATTAATCGAAAAATCGTCGCAGAATTTCGTGTTCGGCATGTGAGAATCTGATCTTCCACTATCATCATGGCTGCAAGATGACAGTGTGTAAGTAAACAACATCAAATCTTCTTCTTCTTTATACAAAAAACACAAATTTATCAAGCAAGAGGGCACTTTCGTAATTCCACATATTAGGGGTAATTGTAATTTATTGAACAAATTAACAGGCGGTAATCATAATTAACAGAGTTAATCAAATCCCTAACAAACATTAAAAGCAGTACAAAAGTGTATCCGTATACAAAACTTACAGCAAATCTCTGCTGCAATCTTCGCTGGTTGGGGAAGATGAAAACCTAATTGAATCCGAACCGGTCGGTTCGTCGCCGACCGGGTTCGCAGTTATCGTACGGTGGTGATTCAGCGGCCGCCGTAAGCTCACCAGGTCGTTGACTTTGGGCGGCGAAAAGAAGAGGTTTCTCAGTGAATCCCACCAGTTCCCTCCTCCGCAGTTGCTCCATTGAAATTCCTCTGCCATTTTCACCCCTCAATTTTGCTTTGATTTTTTTATTTTATTTTTTGATATTCTAATTTTATTTTATTTTATTTTTTAATTAAATAATCAAAAAGGAAAATATATAAAGCAGATACTGTGACAAGAGATACCATCAAGAATTGTCTGAAACTCAAGACAAACTACTTTTTAATTGTTTTGTCCTTTGACACGTGGAAACTTCTGATTGGAGCTTCAATTAATATTAATTAAACACGTCTTAATTGTGGGATTAATTAGAAATTGACAAAAAATATTGTTTTTTCGTTTTTTTCGAACTAGTGGGGAAGCTAGTGTAACAACAAATTCTTATCTGCGATTTAGACAAACAAGAAAAACTTGCACAAAAATAATTTATTGAATTAAAATAAAATATTGCGGGTTACAAACTCTAATTTAATCCTCTGATTCTTCTCTCAAGAACAATATATGTTGACTTTGAATTTTGGAGTCGGGTCGTTGACTTGATCTTCTCCGGATTTGATTTTGGATTTGAATAACGTTTTCCGAGGGTCTTGCGACTTGAATCTCGGATCGAACGTTGAACTTTGACGAGCTTTGACTTGAAGATCTTGGAGTTCTTGATGGATTTGGCCCTTCAATCTTCCTTCGATCTTGATTTGTTGAACTTTGACGGGTTTTGACTTGAAGATCTTGGATTTCTTGATGGATTTGGCCCTTCAATCTTCCTTCGATCTTGATTTGTTGAAGAACGCCCTCGATTTGATGAAGAACGCCTTGAATTTGATGAAGATGAAGAACGCCTTGAATTTGATGAAGATGACTTGAATGTTGTAGAGAGAATTTTCTCCTACGATTTTTATTCTTCTTGAGTTGTGTCTTGAATTGTGTAGAGAGGGTCCCTATTTATAGTGGTAGAATAAGAGTCCTACTTAAAGTCTACTTGATGACGTGGCGCGATTTGATTGGCTCTCTTTAAATTGATATTTATCTCTTATAACTTGGAAGAGAAGAAATAATCCTATTGGCCAATAATTAATTGATAATTATCTCCATAATTTATTTTGTAAGATAAATTATAATTTAATTTAGACACAATTTAATTAACCAATTAATTAATTTTATCTACAAATGCCCCCTCGAGACTTGTTCACGGACAATGCATCTTGGAGTGGATGAGTCTCGATAATTACTCAACTTCAATTGCAGCTTGATCTAACAAAGCACATATATCTTTTGAAATCATTTTGAAATCATGACTGAACTTAGAGAGATTCTAAGTTGCCTACGTACCCTATAAAGGGATCAAGTCATAACGTAGTTCAAAATATATCCTTTTGAGGGATGTCGTGCACAGTTTATACTCATGTGGACAAGGAGAAACATTTGCAGTTTAAGCTCGTACTGAAGGAGCATTTGACTTGAATTTATAGATAGTTTATGCTCGTATCAAGGAGGCTTGACTTGATTTGGACATATAGATAGTTTATGCTCGTATCGAGGAGCCTTGACTTGATTTGGATATGTAGATAGTTTATGCTCGTATCAAGGAGCCTTGACTTGATTTGAATATGTAGATAGTTTATGCTCGTATCAAGGAGCCTTGATTTGACTTGGATATGTAGATAGTTTATGCTCGTATCAAGGAGCCTTGACTTGACTTGGATATATCGATAGTTTATGCTCGTATCAAGGAGCCTTGACTTGATTTGGATAAATAGATAGTTTATGCTCGTATCGAGGAGCCTTAACTTGATTTGGATATGTAGATAGTTTATGCTCGTATCAAAGAGCCTTGATTTGATTTGGATATATAGATAGTTTATGCTCATATCAAGGAGTGCTTCATTTGATTTGGACATGTAGACCTTTTAAACTCGTGTCAAGGAGTGTTTAATTTGATTTGGACATGTAGACCTTTTAAACTCGTGTCAAGGAGTGTTTAATTTGATTTGGACATGTAGATCTTTTAAACTCGTGTCAAGGAGTGCTTCACTGGAGTTGGACATATAGACCTTTTAAACTCGTGTCAATGAGTGCTTCACTTGATTTGGACATGTAGACCTTTTAAACTCGTGTCAAGGAGTATTTCACTATATTTGGACATGTAGACCTTTTAAACTCGTGTCAAGGAGTGCTTGATTTGGACATGTAGACCTTTTAAACTCGTGTCAAGGAGTGCTTCACTTGATTTGAACTTGTAGACCTTTTAAACTCGTGTCAAGGAGTGTTTCATTTGATTTGGACTTGTAGACCTTTTAAACTCGTGTCAATGGAGTGTTTCATTTGATTTGAGTTATCATATTGCATAGGGTGTTGCTTCTTCAAAAGACTTGCCCCCATCCTCATGATTTTCTTGTTCTTCTTCAAGATGCACTTCTTTGAGCCGGTACGGCTTTTGGAATGGTGATTCTTCAATTTGATTTGCAAGTATGCTCAACTCCATATCATGTGCTCGAGTGTCCAACTCTTCAAAACTTTTAGGTTGAATTACTTGAAGGATATATCGGAGTCCCCATTGCATTCCTTGGATGCACAGTTCAATAGCTGATGTCTCATACAGTCGATCCTTGCAATTGAGACTCAAATTTCTCCAACGTTTGATGTAGTCGATGACAGGTTCATTCTTCCATTGGCGGGAATTGGTGAGCTCAATCATGCTGACTGTTCTTCGAGTGCTGTAAAAGCGGTTGAGAAATTCTTCCTCTAAGTGCTTCCAACTATCGATGGAGTTTGCCCCCAAATCAATGTACCAATCAAACGCGTTGTCTTTGAGCGATCGGACGAATTGCTTGACGAGGTGATCTCCGTACGTCCCGGCATCATTGCAAGTCTCGACGAAGTGTGCCACATGTTGCTTGGGGTTGCCTTTGCCGTCAAATTGTTGAAACTTTGGAGGTATATAGCCCATTGGCATCCTTAGATCATCAATCCTTTGCGTGTATGGCTTGACATAGGTTGATGGAGACTTCGAGCTTCCTTCCAACTTGTCTTTGATGGTTCCACTGATCAGCGTCATCACTTGATCTACATGAATTATCCCTTGTGGAGAAACTTGAAGTTCTTGAGCTGGAGCCTTCTCGTTTTCAACTGGTTGTTGCTTTGTGGATGTCTCGACTTCGTCTTGAACCTCTATCTGATTCTCCACAGCTTGACTAGCATCGGCTTTGTCCATCTTGTTGATCAACTCGGCAATTTGAGAATCTCGTTGTTGAACATGCTTTGCGAGTCCCTCAATGGCCTTTGTCAAACTTGCAATTTGCTCCTCCATGGTTGTAGCGTTTGTTGTCATGACGGATGCCACCTCTGAGTAGCTTGATGTTGAACGAGGCGTGGGCTGTGAAATCTCTCGTTTTGAACCTTCCACGTCTGCGCTTGTGTTGACAAGAGGTGGTAAGCCTTTCTGAATGGTTTAAGGCGTCGAGTTAGTCTCGGAGGATGCTTGCAGCTTCTTAGCCATACTCCTTGTACCTAAGCCCACACTTGATGAATCCGAAGAAGCAATCTTCATTGTGAACGTAGACCAGTCACTGCAACACTTTGAGGATCTTCGAGAGAGAGAAGAGATGAGAGGTAGAGATGTCCCACCGGGCGTGCCAAAATTTGTAGCAACAAATTCTTATCTGCGATTTAAACAAACAAGAAAAACTTGCACAAAAATAATTTATTGAATTAAAATAAAATATTGCGGGTTACAAACTCTAATTTAATCCTCTGATTCTTCTCTCAAGAACAATATATGTTGACTTTGAATTTTGGAGTCGGGTCGTTGACTTGATCTTCTCCGGATTTGATTTGGATTTGAATAACGTCTTCGAGGGTCTTGCGACTTGAATCTCGGATCGAACGCTGAACTTTGACGAGTTTTGACTTGAAGATCTTGGAGTTCTTGATGGATTTGGCCCTTCAATCTTCCTTCGATCTTGATTTGTTGAACTTTGACGGGTTTTGACTTGAAGATCTTGGATTTCTTGATGGATTTGGCCCTTCAATCTTCCTTCGATCTTGATTTGTTGAAGAACGCCCTCGATTTGATGAAGAACGCCTTGAATTTGATGAAGATGAAGAACGCCTTGAATTTGATGAAGATGACTTGAATGTTGTAGAGAGAATTTTCTCCTACGATTTTTATTCTTCTTGAGTTGTGTCTTGAATTGTGTAGAGAGGGTCCCTATTTATAGTGGTAGAATAAGAGTCCTACTGAAAGTCTACTTGATGACGTGGCGCGATTTGATTGGCTCTCTTTAAATTGATATTTATCTCTTATAACTTGGAAGAGAAGAAATAATCCTATTGGCCAATAATTAATTGATAATTATCTCCATAATTTATTTTGTAAGATAAATTATAATTTAATTTAGACACAATTTAATTAACCAATTAATTAATTTTATCTACAGCTAGTCCAATACAATAGTACTTGATTATATAATTATTCATGACTAAAAAAAAAAACAAATATGTAATCATGAACTCGGGCAAGTTTGTACACATGCATATACACACATAGTTAGCATAGTGTGATTTTCATTTCTCGTATGGTTTTTACAAACTATTATACAAGAGTGTAAAAAAAAGAATAATAATAGCAACAAACCCTAAAAGCATGTTTCAACTATAAAAAAAATTATAATTAGTAAACAAATTAAAAGATAAATCTCAAATTAGATAAAACAATAAATGCATTAATTAATTGTTTTAATACAGAAGCAGGAACAAGAAACTTCATTAATACAAGCTGCCGCTAAATTCAGCTGATCAGATCTCCTAAACCTAAACCTAAAGCTGAATTTAACACCTGTTCCTCCCCCTTAATCAAACACAAATTAATATATATAGTTCATTACAACTAACTACTTTAATTAAGAAAAATAACCTTAATTAATTAACCCTATATTCCCATAATCATTTGCTAAACACAACATGATTATATACATGCATGGCCCATGCATAATGGGCTGTCTTTCCTTTTTCTCTTTTTTCATTGCCTTGCTTTTTTTCTGAATACTTGCAGAAACACTAACAATGTTGCTTAAAATCATTGCCTTTTTTTTTATTTGAAAGTTTTTTTTTTTTTCGGATCGGATCTCCGTTTTTCTACCTGAAGCTCCCCCCGAAAGTAGGTGTCCAAAAATCGGAAGTTGTCTCGGAAGCGATAGGAAAAGTGCTCGATATCGGAACAAGGCAAAGACCTCGGCTTTTTAGGTCTAATTGTGTTAGCCTTTCTTCATCCTTTGTTTTATTAGCAGCCTGCAAATAATTTATATATATAAATATCCCATTAGAAAATGTTTTATAACTCTACTATAATTAGTTATTATAAGCAATTTGAGCATTTAATTTAATTGAAATCGTCGAGTTAGGTCGATAATATATACCTGATGACGATGCGGTGGAGGGGGTTTACTATTCAAATATGGACTACTCAGTACCTGAAAGCAAAAACAACATATGAAATTTAAAATCAAGAAATAATTAATTAAATTTCAGAAAATATTATACTGAGACTAGTATTAATTAAATAATAAAATTCGAAACTTTTTTTGATCAAATAATTAATGAGGAACATACACTGACTTGATCATGGAGAAACTTGATGTAGTCGATCGCTTCGTGAAGAACGGATGCAGTATCTGTCTGCAATAATTAAAAAAAAAATTCCAGTTAGTACAGAATATATACAAATTTGCAAATTAATTAACCTTTCATTAATTTGAAAAAAATAAAATTAATAATTACCTTTCCGAAAGGCGAAACCAATTGCTGGAGGGCAGTTATCCGGTCCCCCATCTTCTCTTTTCGGACCTGTCGATAAAGAAAAGCTGAAACTTAGCCTATTTTTGTTGTAACAGATTTAATTTGAATTTTGCAAAAGACAAAACCTAATTTTGCCTTTAATTTTCTCAAAAATAAAAATAAATTGTTTATATAAATATATACCTTAAAAGTCGGTAATGGCGATGGAGTTTCGATTCGTGGACGCTTAGTTGCAGGTTCGTTCTTCGCCACCGAGTCTAGTTTCCTCCCTTCTTTATTATGATGCTGAAAAAAAAAATCAGATTATATTAAATTAAATCACACTATAAATTAATAGCAACAATGAATATAAGGTATATATATTATTTATATATAACATATATTATAAGTCTAGCTACCTTTGTATTGAAGTTGTTGGGATTAGGTTTCTTGGATGCAATAACTTGGTTTAACGGAATAAAACTCGTCGTGGGACGAACATTATTCGAAGCTTCGGCCATGGCATTCCAAAACGGTGTGTTATTAGTAAACTCCAAATGGTTTTCTTTCGCCGAAATTTCAGACGAATTATTGATCATCGGGTAATTATTCGGAGAAGACGAATAATTGTTATTATTATTGTGTTCTTGCATGTTATTATTATGTAATAAATATTGTTGTGGCTGAGGAGAATCTATGTCGAATAAATTTTGTAGCAAGGATGAAGTGTAGCTATATGAAGCTGAATTTAGAGGCAAATTATTTAAATAATTATTATTTAATGATGTCTGAATATTTATATTGCAAGAATTATTAATCGCAGAATCGTCGCAGAAATTTGTGTTCATCATGTTGGAATAATCTTGCTCTGATCTTCTGCAAAATTACAAAAAATAAAAAAATATTATTATTATTATTATTATTAATTAAAAATTATTACCAAAAAAATAGAATAAATAATAAATAATTATAATTTCAGAAAATAATTATTATTATTATTTCGGAACTTACAGAAAATCTTGGTTCCAATCTTTAGAGAATAAGTTTCCGTTGAGGTGAGGTTTTGCCTGAAGGACTATGGAGACGGCGGCGCCGTCGTCGGAGGCGGAACCGGCCGGCGAGTCGTCGGCGCTGGTGAAAGAGTTCGCCGGAGTAGTTTGCATGTCTGTTATGAGGGAGTGATGATCATGGTAGTTATTGATGCCGAATATTCCGGCGGCGTCGGAGATGAATTCCGACGAACATGGAGATGAGCCGAAGAGATGAATTCTCGATGGGTTCGCCGGCGGCCACCAGTTTCCTCCACCACAAACTCCACCTTGAAAATCTTCTGCCATGGCGAAACTGTATGTATGAAAGATTCTTGAATGCAGTTAGTTGGGTTTAATTTTGTATGAAAGTGAATTCAATATTGTCTGAGGTTGTATATATATATATACACACAATTATTACATAGGTCGAGTGTGGTTGACATTTTGTAAGAGACTTTGATTAGAAAATCCAATTTTATTTATTATTATTATTTTTAATTTTTTTTATTTAAAATATGTGGTAAGTGAAAAAGTCTTTAATAAAAATAATAAAATAAGGAATTGTGGGTTGATTTCGTCCTTTAGTGTTATTTTTATTTAATTAAAAATATTTTAATTATTGTGGGTAAAATCCAAAGAATTATGCACAAAGCACAACATATTCATATATAGCATATAATTTGTTCGAGGACCACTCGGAAATTAATAACAATAATAGTAATAGTAATAATAATAACAAACGTTTTTCTAAACGAGTGATAGTTGTAACATTAGTCAATGTTTTACTTTGACTAAACATGGAAAATAGAATTAACAGTATGCTCCCATTGACTATAATTGGCTGACTTCTCCCTCTAAATTAATATGGAGAATATTTTTGATTTGACAGTTAGGTAAAGTCTATAAATTGTTATATTTATTTTTTTGCTAATATTTAAACGCTACAAAAATATTGAATCATAGAACAAAATTTTCATTCCAATGTGTATATACAAATTATACGGTTTTTTTATGCTACATTTGATGAATGTTAGTATATCAGGTGAATTTTTACAGTTGATCTACCCACCACAATGTAAGTGTGTTTATTTGCATACCTATAAATAGTAAGTATTTATACGAATTTCGATATATTTCGTTCAGTGTAACATAATGTAAACGGATTAAGATTGTAGCTTTTTTTTTTTTTTTTGATAAATGATTAAGATTGTAGCTTAATTATTTTAATATAGGACGGAAATAAAATAAAATGATTGGGCCATTGGATAAAAAGGGTAGGTGGTGTTATTGGGTTGGTGCATAGTAAGACCCGTGTAGCTTTGAAAATGTTACGTAAAAAGGGGAGTGGGGCCCAATTGGTGCACGCGCGGCATAACTCGACACATTGGGTCTCTATTGGGTCCAAACAGTCAAACCTTGATTGTGACAACCTTTTCTACTCCATATTCCATTTAGGACCCTTAAATCGATCGATAAACTGATCGAATCGAAGTAATAAATCCATCGAATTGAGTCGGATTGAACTGAACTGAACATTCGGCTCGATATTCGGTAAAAGAAATTTAGAAATTCAGTATTTGGTACTGTATCCAATATTGATGACCGGAATATAACTTACTGTACTGAATACCAAAATATTTAATATTTTTTTTTAAATTATAACAAATTATAAAATACTTTTAAATTTATCATTTTTTTTAATTATTTATTAACTAACCTCTAATGGACTAATGGTAATCACTTTTTCTTATGGCCGATTATTGAAATTGAATGCCAAATTCAAAAATTAATTAGTTTAAATATATATGTATTTTTAACATTTTTTAAAATATTAAACTATATTTTCAGTTTTACCTGCGTACCGATCGAAAAAAATCGAATTAATTCGATAAAAAATCTTATCACGCTGAATAGTTCAGTTCTGTTAACAGTGCAACTTTTTGAAGTATTGAAATTTTGGTTTACCGAAATTCTACTTCGATTATGTATATAATTTTACCGAATGAATACCACTATTTATCAGTCTTGTAGATGATCGAGATGCTATTTTTCATAGTTTATGCAGGTTACACCTTAATCCATCTTAACCACATTTTTACATGTATATTTGGATTTAAACCTAGATTTTTTTTTATATAGTTGAATTGCAATTCAACGATAGATAAGACATTAATTAAAGAAAATAAAATTAAAATACTTAGTTTTTATTTTAATGAATAAGGTATTGACCCTTCCAGAATTAGAGACAGCCACTCCACTGGATTTTCCATTTGTCGTCTTCCTATTGGTGGAATGTTCTCCGTTTTAATTAGTATAAGTCTGACCGAGTTGACCCTCAAGAGTCAAGCCTTTAAGTTCATCATATCATTGCTTATAAATTCCTCTTCTGCAATATTTTATTTTATCAATTATGGAATAATGAGAAAATAATACTATCTATAAATGACATAATTATGACGTCACATTGAGGTGTACTAAACGACACGTGGCGTTGGCCAAATGAGACAACAATTGCAGCATGAAATTAGTACTGTTAAAAAATAAATAAATAAAAGATAAAAGAAAATTGGTGAAGAAGACGAATAAAGAACAGCTCTACTGGTGCAGGTGCACTAACACCCAACTTGCCCAACTACACACGTGGTTTCAGAATTTCACATAATTAATTTCTTGAAATTTTTGAAACCCAATAAATAAAAAAATTAATTTAATTCTAAATTATTATTGAATTTTATTTTCTTTTAATTGAATATTTATGAGGCAATAGTTACTAGCTGTATGTATTTAACTTAAGCTAACATTTACAGTCCACACTAGAGTTGTAAACGAGCTGAACTTGAATTCGTATTTTCTTTTGTTGGCTGATTTTGTTTTTTATTTTATTCATATTAGAATTTTATTATTATAAATTGTAACAAAAAAAAATCTACATAAAAACAAATTTTATTTCTCGTTATATGAAGTGAAAAAACGAGAGCCAATAGTAAGGGTGAAAATTAAAAATAAGTAAATATTAAAATTTTAAAGTGATTAATAATGTGGAGAGAAAATAAGCTATATGACTATTAAAATTAATAAAGCTAATGATGATAAGTTTGGTGATGAATATTTAATACATTATCTTCATATTTAGATACGGAAACCTTAGCCATAGGAAAATTATTAAAAAATTAACTAATAGTTATTTATCAAAGTACTCAAGTTAGTGCCAATATAAAACATGTTTATCCAATTTTTAATTCGTACTTAATTCTTAGGTAATTACAGGATTAGTACTTAAAAGTGGCTAATTAAATAACCAAAATGCAATCTTTTGTGCCAAACTATGTTACATGTTGCATTTGTGGCCATATAATTTCAATGTTTCGAATTTAATTAAAAAAAAAGTCATTTTCCCTAAATAAATAAATAACAGGTCTTTGCAAGTCTACTCATGACTTCTGTACCTATATTTAATTGTTTATATATATATATATATATATCTTAATATATTAATCAGCCACGTGTCAGGCTTAGCCCTATTAATCTGTTTATGTTAAACGATAATTCTCCAAATTAGTAGTGACTAATATCTATACAATTATTACTCAAAAAAAAAAAAAAAAATATATATATATATATATATATATATATATATATATATATATATATATATATATATATATATCTGTACAATTATTTACAACAAAAAAAAAGTAAGAAAAAAAAATAAAAAAATATGACGTAGTATAGAATGTGTGGTACGTGGCGGCTATGATAACCATGACGTAATGATTACGTCATCATGGAGCAAGTTTTGCGGATACGGGCCGAGAATAGTCAAACGGGTCAGGCAACCCGGGCCCAGTACTGTTGATTTTGGTTTAGGTCCAGTTTAAGGTATGATGGAGTTGAGAGATAAGTTGGACCTACTACACTTTTTTTCTCTATTCATTTTTATTTTTTGTCCCAGAAATGGATAATTATTTCATTTAATTACGTAATTACTGCAATAATCCAAAACAATAAACTAACCGTAATTGTATTTGGAAACTAATTATTGTGTTTACATGTAACTGCTAGGTGCCAAAATAGGAAGTTAAGCTGCTCTCCTGAAACCTACATAGCAGTTGTGGGTAAAAATATGATGAAATTATTTTAATTTGAGATTTGGCAGTTGGGAAATATTTAATTATTATTTATTAATTAATTTACTAAAACGTGTCACGTTTTATGACCAATATTTGACTTTATTTGACCAAAGAGTGGCTTCAAATCAGGTTCGGTGATTATACGGTTTTGTAGATGCTATAATTGGTGAAAACGCACACATCCATATATATTTGTGTTTAGTGGATAGTTATTTATATAAATTTATGGTTCAAAACTGTTCGATATGTTACAACAGATGTCGCATCTCGTAGACCGTGAATTAACTTGGGAGGGTAAACGCTTCGACTATTGAGATGGATGTTGATTGGCTATCGGTTATTGGTCAGTTCCTGGAAAATAAATAAACACTCTGCAATATTTACATCAACATTTCTACAAAATTCGGCAGAAAACACTTTGCTACGTCAAATAACTCTCGACGAGCCTAGTATAAACATTTGATGGTCTTCACTATTAGGTTGAGCTTGTGACACATGTTCAATCAAGTGTGATTTACGATTCTCGAATTTGCAAACTATTATACGAGAATGCTGATTTACCCTAATGCATCTACATAGTTAACTGCGAATTTCTTTAAAAAATAAAATAAAAATAAAATGAATATAGATACATGTTAAGTAGAATTAGTAATTAAATAAAAGATTTGGTCAAATAGTTGACATAAGACAAAACTTTTTCATTACTTTAGGAAAGAGTAGTTTCCACGCTTAGTACAAGTCAAAATGATGTCCTCTTTAATGATTATGGTCTTCTTTAGAAATTATTGTTTTTTCACCTAATCTTGTAACCATTTTTCAATCTTTAATTAAACTTTCTTTGTCAATGCATATGACATATGTACATTTTAATTATAATTAATTATTATTTTTTTATTTTTTAAATTTTCTTTGCTATTGCTAACAGTATACAGTAGTACCTCGATAAATAAATATTCGATAAATTAATAACATCGCTTAAATAATAATTTCTTACGGTCCCGACTCGGTAAAAACGTACTAAATTATTAGTTCAATAATTTAATATTTCACTAAATTAATAGAATTTTGTCAGTCCCTACTATATTAATTTTTATTGCGGTTTAACTGTATTAATCTACAAGCTTTGGGCTAATTAAGAACTTAATTAAACAAGAGATTATTAAAGAAAATGCTCTTTACGGGTTAATAACTGCTATTTACCGTTCAAAGTAAAAAACAGTTTATCTCTCTAAAACCCCTAAAATTCGAAATTCTCTCCAATTACCCCCCATTCCAAACATTTCAGAAAATTTTTTTTTTTTCGAAAAATTTCGAAATCAACCAAAATCGAGCTTGGGCTTCGAATTTTTCAGGTAATTTCAACACCTACATGTGTTATATGCAATGGGTAACTCGATTTTGCAACCAATTTCATGTTTAAAAGCCCTACAAATCGATTTGTAGGGCTTTTGAATTTTTCGGAAGTTAGAGCCAAACGCCCAAACCGGGCGCTGGCTGCATGAACCGACGCCCAAAGTGGGCGTCCGTTCATGCTGCCGGCGCCCGGTTTGGGCGTGAAATGAGTGTTTAATTTTCTTGTCTGCACGCTAAGCTCCGCTGCACTGCCGTCTCCGGGGTTTTTTGAACTGTTCTTTCTTTTT